GATGTGACCGGTTTCATTCATTCTGACTGAAAAAAAAAGAACAATACCATTTTCAGCAGCTAGATGGCACTTGAGTAGGATGGCATGTTGTTGTATCAAGTAATAGGTAAAAGTGACTATTAATGACACAATCAGCTTGCCATAGCCTGCCACTGTCGTCTGCCTGGAGCAACTGAATCAACTTCATTTCGCTGCGCCGCCCCGGCGAAATGCAGCTAATTTCACCATCAAAGTGCATTTATTAAGCAAAAGTTCAACTGAGACACACCTTTACTATAATTTCGAGCAAACAAATAATTGTTTTTAGGTGGTTATCTTGTTCAATTCTTGTTAAAATCCTCCCGTGCACGCTCCCGCAGCTGCCATATGGCAGCCAGTCGATTTTTGGCACAACACCGGCCCACATTTCCGGGTTGTCAGCGGTGACGCATAATAGATGCAACATATATTAGACATAGACTGATGCGACTTATTGGGCAGTGCGACGTGTGTGGCAGAAAATATGGTACCAGAAGAGTAGCTAAAAACTAAAAACATAACAAGCCTCCCTAAAAGTAGTAAAATAGTAGCTACTAGCTAGAACCTAAAAATAGCAAAAGACTAGCTTAAAACGTCAAAAGGTTCATTAACAGGAGAGAAACACTAAACAAAAATAGGAAAAGGCTAATTAAAAGATAGAGTAGCAAAAAGTTAATTCAAAACTAAAAGCAGAACAGTAGCTCTAAAGTAAAAGTAAAAGTAGCATAAGAAGAAAAAGATTTATGCTGAGGCAGATTTAAAAGAAAATGTTTGAGAAGGAATTTTCTGTGGATTTCAATGGAGAAATAATTGTAAATTAAACAAAATTTATGAACATCAAAAGTCATTACAATCATTTTCTGAATGAGCTGAATGTTTTGAGATATGAATGGGTAAAGTAGTGATTATGCAGAAGAAGGCAGACTGCAAAAACTGTATGGAAAAATAAAAAAAAAAAGGAAAACTGTGTGAACACAGTATTAAAATGGAGTGAATCATCTCTGATATTGATTTCTCTGTAAAAAAGACAATGATTCACCTCATCTGTAAGTGAAATACACCCTCAGCAGTGCTTTTTAAATTCATAGCTAAAGGAGGCGATCAACCTTCACAGCTGCAGTCAGTGGAAACAAATGAAGCCCATCCTGAGCCTGGTTCTGGTTCTGCTGGAGTTTTTTTCTTGTTAAAAGGGACTCGTTCCCACTATCACAGATGTGATGCTCAGGATGTGAGTTTACAACAAAAGAAAGATTTGACACAGTCTGCTGTCTTCTTTTACTTATTGACATTCTCCAGTGTATGTGAATGTTTTTGTACAGTGACCTCAGATGACTTTTGATGTGAACTGGATAAATACGTTGAATTTATTTGAACCGCTGCAGCTTCTATGGCTGAAATATCAGAAAGTTCACTGCAGCAGCTGCTGGGATGAAAAATAGGGGCATGAATCAGGGCTGCAAGAAGGACGTGAAATCTTGTTTTGTCTGCGAAACAAACTGTTTGTTCCGCGCAGCACTGAGCTGCCTGGTGTGTTTCCATATCCTGGCCTTGACAGAGACCGATGGACTGTCTCTCGTCTTGTCTTATCAGAGCTGCTGCAGCCCCACAGAGTCTGGCTGCAGGCCTGCAGGGACCTTGTCTCATTCCCTCGTCCACACATGAAGACATGCTTGCTCTCAGTTTTTACATTTTATATGCAGCATTAAATAGCTTTGCATATTTGAGGCATCCTGTTTGTTTATTTATTTGTTGGGTTTTTTTTTTTTTTTTTTTTTTTTTTTTTTTTTTTGCATTTTCAGTAATGTAAGCATCTTGTGTGGATGAGAGGCTGCTGTTCAGATTGTTAATTTGTGTCTTTGGAGCACATGTTCAGTACAGAACAGAGAAGACCCAAACTAATCCAATGAACTACAAATATTATCAAATAAAATAATATTTTGTAAATTAAGCATACACACCTTTTTTAATGACTAATGCATCATTGACAAGCCTTTTTTGAAAGAATGCATACGACCCACCACCTTGCATACAAGGCTTGCGTGGTGATGGGGGTGACTCTCAGCTACTACCACGCCACGTTAAGACTAAAACTGACTGAGTTAGAGCCGTTTTGTGTTAGAAAAGGTTGATCAGCTATGGCAGCCATCTTGGTTCAGATTGACTCTAAAAGTTAATAATTTGAAGATGCTTTTCAAGCTTTTCAATAATGTCTGCCCGCTAGTTTATGGACTATTTTGCTAACAGACATGGTTGACCGCAAAGGTTGACATTAAAGTTTTAAACAAAGATCACATGCAACCTGTTTGCATGCTGGGGAGGACTCTCAACTACCACCACACCAAATATTAGCTCAATATCTGTTAAATTGACTGAGTTATAACCATTTGTGTGTGTTATAATGTGAATTATCTTTGGCAGCCATCTTGACTTGGGTTAACTCCAAATGTCAATCAGTTGTTAAAGGACATCCCCTGGTTACTTTCTGAGAGTTTCATTAAAACTCAAACAGTCGTTCATGAGATATTTTGCTAACAGACAAGACACGTGAACATGCACACAGACACAAGAAATCACATAACTGACTATCTTTCATTGTGGTGAGTGATGATAAAAATAATCTGTGTGAGATTTAATCTAAACTTTAGTTTAATTCAAACCCACAAATGATGTTTCGTCATTTTGAGTTCCATCTTAATCTGGACATTTTTTTATTTTTTGCTAACTGAAGCTCTCAGTTTTTGTGCATCCTCTAAAAAGAGTGCATTCTTCTGGAATGGACCTTAAACCTGTTTGCTCCCAGTATAAACCTTGATGACACTGTTACTGGTGTGGGTTTCCTTCAGTCTCCGGTCTCTGGCTTTGAAAGCTGCAGCCGATGAGCTCACGCTTCATTCGACTGCGTCGTCTCCTTGGTTTCCCTCTCCTGGCTGTTCGCCTCAGTTCCTCCTGTGGATTCAGAGGCTCAACACAGAAAACTCAAAACAAAACATCAAGGAGCTCGGTTCAGTTACCTATTCATGCCGTGATGTGGTTTTTAATTACTTCTATTACTGGTGCAGACCTGACTTTACTATGTTCGACTTTAAACACCCATGGCCACATTTTAATAAGTGAACCTATGAGTCTTGTTGGGGGTTGTTGTGATCACATTCTGCATACTGAAGTTTTTATTCTGAATTTACCCAAAGAGCAATAATGTGTCTGAGAGTGTACAGCTGATTATTTTTTGGACTGAACCTAAATTAGAATGGCTGTCACAATCAACTGACCTTTAAAAAAACATTAACATTACTATAACTGTCAGTTTTATGCATGTTAGCCTAAAATTTGGAATTTGAGCTCCAGCACATATTCTGAGTGTTAAAAGTACAAGATCATCATTCAGAAATGTTGTTTAATTTATGTAGTCAACTCTGTCTGACTGTGAGCAAAATATCTCACAAACTACTGGGCAGATTTTAATGAAGCTTTCAGGAAATTATCATTTGATGCGCCTCTACAGCTGGTTAACTTTTGGAGTCAGCTTGATTTAAGATGGTTGCCACAATCAGCTGACTGTAGAAATTACTAAAATAGCTATAACCCCAGTCAGTTTTACATGCATTTTTGCTCAAATTAAGTGTGGTAGTAGCTGAGAGTCATTCACAAATTATATTCTGACATCTTGTAATATCACACAAGATTGTGCATTCTCTCTTTCGCCTTCGGTGAAGACGGTCACTCTCACCCTCCCTCCCTCCCTCCTGCTTTTTTTGCTCTCTTGTCCTGTCAACCTCAGAGCTTCTCTTTACACATCTTCCGAATCGAAAATTGTTATGGATTTGATCAGCTGGTCCCTCAACGCAATTGACAATTTTTTTTCCTACCAGATGACAGGGTGCTGGAGAGCCCTCATGCCCTGAACGGACCCTCGCATTTTGGTATGTCATGGATTCCTGGGGGCAGTGGAAGATGATGTGTCTATCTGTGCTGTCCGTGGAGGACGTAGAATGGATTTATGATAACAGGGTTTCTGATTTTTGGAATCGGCAGATATCTAGGATATCGACATACTAGGAAGACATAGGCAGCAGTTTCGGCCATGGTAAAGCTGCCAGCCTTATGTGAAGGATTAATTTGTGCCTCGAGCGCTCAGACTCATATGCTTACCGAGCTCAACCGCAAGCTGGACGTGATTTCTGAGAATCATAGGCCACTTGCAGCTCTTGGAACTCACCAGCATGAAGGATTGGACCTTAGAGAAAGCTAACAATCACGGACTGGACGGAATGTCCACTAATCTGGCTGTTTGGATTCACCATTGAGTGTACCAGCTGAACTTGAAGGCAGACAGAAATCAGAGTCTGGCAGCCAAAACAGTTGTTGTTTATCTGAATTTGTTTATTTAAATTTGGACAGGCCAACTTATCTGAAATTGCTGCTGGAGGATACGTAAAATTGAAGCTCTGCCTGACACACACATACACATACACCCGTTCCTGAGGACATCTGTGGCCTTATCAGAACTGTGATGCTGATAGACACTGCACCATCTTATCAGAACTTTGGAACTTTCTGAGTGTCCATGGAAAACTCACCGCCTTTGTCGACCTCAATGCATAAATGTATTATGATGTCATTGTATGATGCAGTTTTATGTTGCGAGGGCATTTTTTCATCTTTCACACTGTTACCCGGCCAGGAAATTATGTGAGACATGATTTTTTTTTTGGCTTCCTCCTCTCTTGTGTTCGTTTTCTCATCTGCCTATATGTTGTATATATCAGGTCTGTCTTGTAAATGAATCCTCAAGGATCAGTGGGAACTAACCTGTATAAATAAAAGTCTAATAATAATAATAATAAAAATACTATTGTTTTCAAACTTAACCCTGTCCCATTTCTCAACAGAAGATGATCTAAGTCTAAAACTGGCATTAATAGTGGCAGGCAATACACTTTCCTTCGCCTTCTACTAAATTTCCACACTCTTGTGTCTCACAGTGTTGCTGCGTGAGGAGGTGGTCCAGCTCCAAGAGGAGGTCCACCTGCTGAGGCAGATGAAGGACATGTTGAGTAAGGACCTGGAGGAGACCCAGGGAGGCTGCTCAGCCAATCTGCTCTCTGCCACCGAGCTCCGCGTGCAGCTAAGTGACAAGGAGCAGGAGCTGGACCGATCCAAGGAGGCCTTACAAGGTCAGGACTCCACAGTTGTTGTTAAAATCCATCCTTAATACCTCATCCAGAGAAAAGTCAGATTTTTAGAATTTTTTACATTTCTGAACGCTGCTGTTAAAGAAAATGTTAAAAGTAAATTAATTTTACTTCAGTAAGAAACAAAGATTTGACAAGCATCTGTTGTAAAAACACACAAATCGTTCCAAATTTTATTCTTGATCATGTCGAATTAACTGTTTACTGTATTTTCTGCCGCAAACGTTGCACCACCCTATACATAGCATCAGTCCAAATATGTCCAATAAAGTGGAAAAATCCATAAATATGTCGCTTCACCGTATATATTGCATATATTATGTATCACCGCTGACAACCCAGAAATGTGGGCTGGTGTTGTGCCAAAATTTGATTGACTGCCAAATGGCGGCCGCGGGAGTGTGCACGGGAAGACTTTAACAAGACTTTAACAAGAATTTAACTAGATTAACGCTTAAAAACAATTATTTGTTTGCTCAAAATTATAGTAAAGGTGTGTCTCAGTTTAACTTTTGCTTAATAAATGCACTTTGATGGTAAAATCAGCTACATTTTTGCTACTACTAATACAACTCTGATTCTATCTAGTGGCTGAAAAATGGTAGTGTTCAAAATTTTCAGTCAGTATGAATGAAAACAGCCATATCTCAGCCCAAAATTTGTTTATGAATATGGAAAAAAAATCCATAAATATGTCGCTTCGGCCTGTAAGTCACAGGGCATGCAAATTATGCACAAAAAAGTGACTTAAACAGCAAAAAGAAATACAGTATGTATTGTCTACTTACTGAAAACTCGTCTTTTGGGTTAAACTCCATATTTGATATTTAGTGAACTTTTCATGGATCATGAGCATGACGTGTTCACAAAAGGTAACATCATGCTGCAAAATTAAATGCAGAGTTCAAAATGGAGCATCTTGTTTCAGCTCATCTTCTTCCTCTAAATAAAATAAGTATTAATAATGAATCTGCACAGCTCAAATAACACTAATTGGTAAAATGTTTTGTGTTTTACTGGCAGTATTTATTTATTTAAATCCTAACTCTCTTCCTGCGTGCAAGTTTGGATTTAATACATTCTTAGAGATGGGCGTTGGCCCTGATTAGGCGCCAAGAGTACTTGGACTGAACCTAATTTTTTTTTTTACTGACGTTCATAAATCACACAGCTTCACTCACTAACAGTAACTTTTTCATTGTTTCTGTGCTCTGGGTTCACAAGTGTATCAACCAAGTACTGCTAGAGATCACTCTTTGGCCCACTCCAGTCTCATCTCTGGTCATTTGTCCTTTTTTTATTTTACGTTGAAAGATATAGTGAGCTATATATCTATATTTTAAAAGAAACTATAAAAAAGGGCAGCCCTTTGTGTTTATTGGCTCTCCCCCCAGCCTGTTAACCGTCACATAACTGCTGCAGAACAGGTTTTAGGGTTCCGAGTAAAATGTGGGGAAGGTGATCTCTGACAAGAGGAATGCACCTGGAGTGACACGTGTCTTCAGATATGGAAAGTACAGGTTCCAGTCTTGCCTCTGAGGAGAAACTGTTGCTGTTTTTGCCTGCAGAGTGCCACTGGTTGCATCACTTCTGCAGAGTGCCGTTGAAACAAATCAGATCTTATCGTTCCTCCAGAGTATGAGTCTCCACATGCAATCTGAAAATAGTTTTTTCAAATGAATGAAAGTGTCCTGCTGTGCCATTTGTTTGGTGATGATTACCTCATTTTTAGAGGATATTTATGAGTGGAAGGGGACGCAGTCCCATCTAGTGGCTTTCTGTTGCTATTACAAATCTTTATTTCTAACAAGAGACTTGCTTTCTTCACTGACAGTAAATTTGATTGTTGAATGTGTTGAACTTTGTGTTGCAGCTATGAAAGCTGACCGAAAGCGTCTAAAAGTGGAAAATTCAGATTTGGTGAGTCAGATGCAGCAGCTGTACACAACACTGGAGAACAGAGACGAGCAGCTTCGAGAGTTCATACGCAACTATGACCAGCACAGAAAGGTACCAAGAGCCTGACTGATCCGCACGTGCTTTCAGTGGTGCACGTCTGCCTACATGAGATATTTTTACAGAAATTTTGATGCGTTACTGCCAGTATTTAGTGATTTTTATAGCAGTGTAGATGAACAGATGCTGGGATATTTTCATCGTTTAACGCGAGTTCCTCATTTTTCTGGACTGAATAAAACGTGCATTGAATTTAAGGAAATGCAAACGGGAGACGTCATTTAAATTTGACCCATCAAAATGAATGCGGTCATTTATTTACAGAATCAAATTTAACATCAAACATTTACATTAATTTGGCAAATTATGAAAATAACAACAAAGCAATCAATCAGGAAAAATCATACGGCCATGATTTCTCCGTTGCTGCACCAACAAACATTTCTAACTGTACAACTATGATCTTTTACCCACATGAATGTGGGTAAGCACTTTACACAGACATTTCTAAATATCTGGGAGAATTTCTACTTGATAGAAAAGTTTAAGATGAAAGATGAAGTTTAAAGGGGAGAAAGATGGTGTTTGAGGTAGAGTGTTGAACAGAACGGCACTCTCCGGGCTTTCTTCAGCTTTTCCTCACAGTACACTTAGGTGGTGAAAACGACTCTTTTACCTGGAGATGTCTCAGGCGAGATTCCGTTTAACGCACCCTTTCAGCGTCTCCGTAGGATGCTGTTACTCGTCCGGAGTAGCTGCGAGGTTCTGTCAGCCACAGCTCACCTCAGTGGAAAATGTTATAATCCCATGGAACTCGGAAGAGCTTCGTTGTCATGTCAGGAACTCCAACAGCACTCCATCAGAACTCCAGAACTCTAGAAGTCTGACAACTCTCCAACTCTGAGTACCTGTGTGTCTCTCCGTGTCCCTGTGAGTCCCTGTAGAGTCTGTGTAAACCAGGAAGTACTGACATTTTAAAGGCTCTTTCCCGGTTCACTTTTTGGGATTTTTCATTGGTCAGAAACGACCAGAAGGGGTGTGTTTTTGTGACGTAAGAGGTTAGAGACAGCGAGAATTGTTCTCACAGACCGAGAGGGTTCTGTTTTGGCGTGCCTTAAGAAACAGGTGCAAAACATCTCTATTTACGTCTGAGAGGATTCTAAAACATGACAGTTTTAACATAACAACTTGTTTTTCGTTTGACTGTAACCTTGTAAACGCACACACTTGCTCATTCAAAAGCAGAAATCAGAAAAATGCATAATTACTCTGCACAGCTTTTAACATGAGAATAAAATCATTACTCAGTTAATAAAATTGATTAGTTCACTGCAACATCTAAAATGGTTTGAACTAAGACACTTTGATTATCAACATTTGTAAGATAGTAATGATAATAAAAAGAGAGTGTTCTTTTCACTTGAATCTTCAAGAAAGAAAGTCTCAGGATGGGTGAACCTGTATTTATGTATTCAAATACATGAAATGACAGCTTCTATCCCACAAGGTTCTAAAGGTCAAGAGTTTTGACCTTAGACTGGGTTTCGACGTAGGCTTAGTCCACTACAGCAGTAAAATGGTAATCAGAAGTAACACTCAATTTGTGGCAGAACATGAACATTGTACATGTTAATGAAATACAGCAATCCTTTTTCCCTTTAATTAAATGAGAATAACAGTGAGACAAACAATAATGTAACCCTCCATTTTTAAAACTTAAATTATTAACAGCAATCCATAATATATAATATATGGACCAGGTTTTTGCAGAGTATTACGTACTACATAAATACAACATAAGTGCCAGGTATGTACTCAGTAAGTACTTTGTAACTACTCTGTACGTAGCCACTAAGTCCTTGGTATGTAGCTGGTAAGTACCATGTATGTACCCAGTGCATAGCCAGTAAAAAAAGGTTTATACTTGGTACTTACCAGCTATGCACCCTGTATAATATAGCTATATACCACCAGCTATACACCACTGTTTAAATAAAGGTTGAATGAATGCGCCCATTTTTATCAGCTACATTCTGGATACAGGTACCCAGTAATGTCTTTTCCAGACAATGTATCTAGGTGGAACTTACCGAGTAGGTACATAACCAGTACTCATCTGGTACACATCCATTATGTTGCCAGTAAGTACTAGGTACATAGCTGGTACATACCAGGTACATATTGGACTGTAGGACATATTGCTACCAAATGTTCTTTAATAGCTTTAATAAAAGTACCATAAGTCATTCCTTAGTCTCATGTAGTCTCATTTAATTCACTATTTTAACAAACATACCAGTTTGTGATGTGCTGCTCGAAGCGTTTCTGATTATTCAAAGGTTATTTAGCGAGAACTTTGTGTGCATGTTGTCCCTGTAGGAGAGTGAGGATGCAGTGAAAGTTCTTGCAAAGGAAAAGGACATACTCGAACGGGAGAAGTGGGACTTGAGGAGACAAACCAAAGAATCCACGGAGCAGGCCACCATCCTGCGCTCTCAGATGGACATGAAGGAGAACAGGATCAAAGAGCTGGAGGCTGAGCTCACCATGGTGAATCACACACACACACACGCACACACACAACTCCTCTGACTTCATTCATGAATAATACCGTCACCAGAAAATGATTAGGCGTGTGTGATGGAAATAAAAAGGACTCTGCATTTGTATGGTTCAAACAGACAACTGGGTCGTCTCTCAAATGTCTTGTTTGCTGAGGAAGAAACTTGTTTTCATATGCATCAGTTTATTGTAGGTGCAACTGTCTGTCTGTGATAATCATCTCCTCCTTTTGTAAGTCACAGCCACCCACAGATCCACACATCAGTCTGCAGCACAGATCACATTTGTTGGTTCATCACATTCCGTCTGCTCCTCTTCTCTCGTTTTCTCTTCGCACTGGTGTACTCCGATAAATCACAAATAAAACTATAAATATGTTGGATTTCTTGTTAAAGAACATTAGGTTTTTAAGATGTCCATCTTTAAACTGTCCATTTTTAAAAGCCGTCTGAAATCTCATTTCTACCCAACTGAGACTTGATTTCACTTCATTTTTATTGGTATTGATTTTATCTGTTAAACTCGTCGTTTCATTGTGTTTTATGATGAGTTTTTAATTCACTGCGTGCTTAGCTTTGTAACTTTATTTTTATGCTTTCTTTTATCTTATTTGTTACTGATGTTCAGTACTTTGTTTCAGCTGTGGCTGGTATTAAAGCACTTTAAATATAAAGTTGATGTGATGATGTAATTATACAGTATTATTTATTAAATCACCTGGCTTTAACTTGTTCTTTTCAGTGAGCCTCGTTAACAAACTGAAAATTTGACTTTTTTGCAGGGTGGGGCCTCTCAAATGTTCATGTAACCTAATAAATAACTTAGGTGAAATAACTAACTTGTACATTTAACGACAGTTTAAATTGTTAATTCAGGTTAATTCAGGCTTCAGGTAGCTGGTGCAAGACCAGTGGTCCGATAAAGAAAGAAATAAAAGCCCCGGTGGGCTCCAGAGAGTAGCCAGACCTTTGGTGGTGACTTCCCCGCTCGGAAGTCCTTGTGGGCTGGCTATCAGCTCACGGATTCTCGGATGGGTCTGGAGGTCCAGTTCTGCTCCGGTTCTGGTCTTCTTCATCAGTGGTTTCCGTGCAGCTCTCTGAATCCATTGGGTGCTAAAGTCACTGTACAGTAATAAGCACCAAACTTTTTCCAGTCCAGTGTTTTAGCAAAAGGCAATGGGGCTTCTGGGCAGGTCACTGTTGGCTTCTGGGAAATGTAGTCTTTAGAGTGTGGATACAGTGTAGGCTTATTGAGCGAAAACTACAAAATGGTGGCGCATGTACAATTTTTTTTTTTACTTTTTACTGTACAGTATTCTATACAGTCCCAATCCCATGTGTAATATTAAAGTTGACGATTGTGTGCCGTGTTCAATTTTTTTTCCTTGTGTTCAATCTTACTTTGTAAGAGCGAGTCCGTGAAAGTCGAACCGCGAAGTACTGAGGGACTCCTGTACATCTAATCAAACTATTGCCACTAAACTTTGTTTGGCCAAAAATCGTGTCTTTATTTCTCAAACGTTAACAATTATCACATTTTACTCTCTTTCAATTGTTACATGATGTTTGATGTATATTATATTTTATATAGTTGTAATATTTTGCTCTTACATCTTGACACTTTGGTCCTGTTTGCTTTGTTTTTCACTCTTTTTCAGTTTGTGATTTTTAAATATATTTTTGTTTTTCTGCGTGTATCGCAGGCGAAGCAGTCTCTGGCCACTCTCACAAAAGACGTACCAAAACGCCACTCTCTGATCATGGCGGCGGAGCCTGTGGTGAACGGCAGTCAGGAGTGGGTGATGCAGGCCGACCTTCCGCTCACGGCCGCCATCCGTCAGAGCCAACAGACGCTCTACCATGGACACATCACAGACAGACAGGGTAGGCTGTCTCCTCCTCTTCTCGGCCTTTCCTTTGGTGATGCTAACAGCCTCAGCATACTAACAGAGGGTTTTCTGGTGGTCTCTCTTACTAATGGTGGGGAATTTTCCGTGTGTGTGTGTGTGTGTGTGTGTGTGTGTGTGTTTGTTCAGCTGTGGTCAGGATCAGCCCCTGCCACACCCGCCAGCCCTCCGTCATCTCTGATGCCTCTGCAGCTGATGGGGACCGCTCGTCCACGCCGAGCGACATCAACTCGCCTCGTCATCGGACTCACTCCCTCTGTAACGTAAGAGCTGCCCCCCTCCAAGTAACGCCCCCCACCCCCCTCAATCCTGGCTTGTGTGTCTCTGTCCTATCAGCCCAGCGGTGTTCATCCTGCCTGCTCAGTGGTGGTGGACTTGTTTTTATGATTTTTTTAATTCATTATCAGACGTTCTGCTGATGTATTTTATTGATTTTTAAGGACACAGTTTACAGCTCACTTGTTTCTTTATTGAATATAATCTTGTTCATAGTTAAAAGAAATTTACAATCAATCAACATGGAGATCTTGCAGAATGTCGCTTTTGTACCAGTACTTGTGGAATTTCAAATTGTGACAAAATTAGAAAAACATAAATATATTTCAGGCAACAGTGTATAAATAAATCAGACATGGTTCTCTGGAGGAAATTGTCATACAGAACTCTTGTGAAAATCACTGTCAACACTTTTTTTAACTCAAATTTCAGGTTTGAGGGAAAAATGTGTTAGATGGGATTAAAACTTTAACATAAGAAAATGAACAAAAGAAAATAAAATCTAAAACGCATCGTCCTTCCCTAAGCTATTCTTCCTTTACAGTACATACAGTATATGTATATATATATATATATATATATATATATATATATATATATATATATGTATATATATATATATATATATATGTGTGTGTGTGTGTGTGTGTGCAGCCAGTTGACTAGTTTCACTTACTCAATTCTTTATTTTTGCAGTAATGTGTCAAATCTACAGTAGTTTGTTTTACAGATTCATGTCTCTGTAGCAGAAGAACCCAGTCTGCAGCTGGTTTACTTGAACGTCAGACAAAACAGTTATGACTATGTTCTATCTGAAACTGACATTATGACAGTTTTCATGGCTCACAAGATGTTGGGTAAACAAACAGGTGATGCAACACAGCAGCAAACTTTTACCAGAAATGTGCATCAAATTAAATAAATGTCATTTTCTCCACTCAGACAGGGCCTGAAGTGTTGGGCTTTGTTATTTAACCCTTGTGTTATGTTAAGGGTCAATTTGACCCGTTTCAATTTTTGTGTTGATCAAAGTGCAGGTTATCCTTTCTTTTTTTCCATGAAATGTTGTGACTTTTTCTCCTCTAGGGTCATGAACTTCTATGTAAAATCTGGACTCTTTGATGTGTTGTTAAATGTCTGCACACAGTTTGTATACAAAGATGATGTTGCGGGTCATTTTGACCCGCACACAGAGTAGCTGTTAAAAATCCAAAAAAAAAGTCTTTGATGTACTTCATTTTGATTGCCTCTGAATAAACATTCAGAACCAGGTGTGTGTGGAAGAGGGACTTTCTCTCCCCTGTCCTTGTCACTGTTTCCATGCCCGTTCTTGGAGAAACACCAAAAATGAGCTCCAGACGATTTACAGCTGAAGAAGCTTTTTCGCAGCTTATGAACTGGGATAGTGATGTAGAGGAAGAGGTTTCAGAGACAGAGGATCCTTCAGAGCCAGAGGACAATGCCATTGATGATCCAGATTTTCAATTTTCCCATGATGAGGAGGATTCAGAGGACGAGTCTGCAGGTGTCCCTTCTTCAGATGAAAACCAAGAAATGCAACAATCGTCATCCACAGAGGGGACATGGACATCTAAAGATGGTAAAATAAAATGGTCAACATCACCACACCAAAGCCAAGGTAGATTGTCATCTTGTAATGTCATCAAAATGATTCCTGGTCCTACAAGATTTGCTGTCACAAGAGTTGATGATATTGAATCAGCATTTCAGCTCTTCATATCCCCACCCATAGAGAAGATAATCCTCAACATGACCAACTTGGAGGGGAAGCGTGTCTTTCAAGAGAAATGGAAGCCACTGGATCCGACTGACTTGCATGCTTACATTGGAATCCTGGTGTTAGCTGGCGTATACAGGTCAAAGGGTGAAGCAACTGCAAGTTTATGGAATGAAGAGAATGGAAGGCCAATCTTCCGAGCAACAATGTCTTTGGAGACATTTCACATGATCTCTCGTGTGATCCGATTTGACAACCGTGACACCAGAGCTGATCGACGTGAGAGAGACAAACTTGCAGCAATCAGAGATGTCTGGAATAAATGGGTCGAAATCCTGCCTTTATTGTATAATCCTGGCCCCCATGTTACTGTCGATGAGCGCCTCGTTCCATTCAGAGGACGCTGTCCATTCCGACAGTATATGCCAAACAAGCCTGCGAAATATGGCATCAAAATGTGGGCAGCCTGTGATGCAAAATCCAGTTATGTTTGGAACCTGCAAGTATATACTGGAAAGCCACCTGGAGGAAGACCTGAGAAGAATCAGGGAATGCGTGTGGTTTTGGAGATGACTGAAGGGCTGCAAGGTCATAACATTACATGTGACAACTTCTTTACATCCTACCGTCTTGGAGATGAACTTCAGAAGAGAAAGCTGACTATGTTGGGAACAGTCAGAAAAAATAAGCCAGAACTTCCCAGTGAGATTCTGAAGATGCAAGGAAGACCTCTGCATTCCTCAAAATTTGCTTTCACAGAGAAAACAACACTTGTTTCTTACTGCCCAAAAAGAAACAAGAATGTTCTTGTGATGAGCACAATGCACAAAGACGCATCTCTGAGCACACGAGAGGACATGAAACCGCAAATGATTCTGGATTACAACTCCACAAAAGGGGGAGTTGACAATCTTGACAAAGTCACAGCAACATATAGTTGTCAGCGCAAGACTGCCCGTTGGCCTTTGGTGGTTTTCTACAACATTTTGGATGTGTCTGCTTACAATGCCTATGTGCTGTGGATTGAGATCAACCAGCAGTGGAATGCCAGCAAACTGTACCGACGTCGACTTTTCCTGGAAGAACTAGGCAAAGCACTCGTCACTCCAAAGATCCAGAACCGGGTCAGGCCAGCTAGATCCCCAGCAGCTGCTGCTGTCATCGCAAAGGTCCAGGGCAGGGCATCTGACCAACCCACAATGGATCCTTTGGATACAGGTACAAAGAAACGCAAAAGATGCCAAGTCTGTCCCTCTCGAGATGACAGTAAAACAACTACCTCTTGTGTGAGATGCAAGAAATACATCTGCAAAAAGCACATAGTCACATTCTGTCCATCATGTGGGGAACGCTGAAAATGTTGACTGTCAAAAACCCGAGAAAATGCGGCAAGTTAAATGCAAAAAAAAAAAGGGTTCGTGAAGAGGGAAAAATTGAAATCAGGAGTTCTTTAATATAGTGTTGGAAGTGTATATCTCTACTTCTCATCTCTTCTAAATATTTGTATAATCTAAAATAAAGTTCTTATTGGTTTAACTTCATTTTATGACTGTTTTGAGTGGATTTACACAATGCGGGTCAAAATGACCCGCAACATAATAAACGTATTTTTTTCTCAACATAATACAAGGGTTAATTGAGCTTTGTTTCTGGGGAGGCAGTCAGTCTGACACTATCATACCAGTTCCTAAGAGCTCTGCAGTGACTGGGCTGAATGATTATCGGCCAGTAGCCCTCACCCTGATAGTTGCTACCGGTAAATGCTTCGAAAGACTGGTCATGGCCCACCTCAAAGCTACCATCGACATCAGCGAGGACCCACACTAGTATGCATGTCGCGAGAATCGATCAACAGAATACACCATCTCCTCTGTGGTCCACACTACTCTCACCCACCTGGAGCAGAAGGGCTCCTACGTCCAAATGCTCTTTGTAGACTTCACATCTACCTTCAACACCATGATCCCCCAAATCCTGATGGACATATTACTCACACTAGGACTAAGCCTATCACGGCGCATTAAGATTCAGAATTGGCTGTAACTATCATACCCACCACTGCACCCTGTACTCGCTGGTTAACTGGTCATCATTAACTTCAGGCAGACTCTCTCACTGGTACATTTTCATCTTTAAATCACTTCTTGGTCTGTTGCCTTCATACATCTCTTCCTACATGTCTCTGAGTGAGTGCAGCTACAGCGTGCGCTCTCAGGACATTATTACCTGCAGTGTTCCCTCAGTGAGGACTGAACTAGACAAAAGGGCCTTCTCCTACTCCGCTCCTGTTTCCTGGAATATCTTGCAACAAGATCTGAAGCTCTCAACTTTGACCTCTCTAAGTGGTTTTAAACATCTGTTAAGTTCCTGGCAAAAAAACCAATGCAGACATGTTCCTGTTTTTAGTTTTCTATATCGCCTTATAATCTAGCTATTTTTTTGTTTTCTTTTGTTTTTGTTTTTCACTACTTTTCCTTTTGACTGTCCTTTTGGTTGCTATTTTGTTTTGATTTATAAAAAAAAAAAGGAATTTAAAGCTGTATGCCTCTTTTATGTTGTGTTATGTTGTTGTCATTATTCACTGTTGTCATCACCCTTTGTTAAGAAATCAGATCTCTCTTGTAAATGAGGCTCAATGGGATTAACCTGTCTAAATAAAGGGTGAATGAAAAAATAGCCCCTCCATTTGCAACTGGGTCCTGAATTTCTGAACCAACAGACTGCAGTCTGTGAGGATACACAACTCCTCGTCTTCCACCTTAACTCTCAGCACAGGCGCCCCTCAGGGCTGTGTGTTGAGCCCCCTCCTGTTCACTCTGCTCACATATGACTGTGTACCTACCCATCCAGGCTGCCATATTGGAAAGTTTGCAGACAATACAGCAGTGGTTGGATGCATCACAACTTTTCAGGCTGTTTAGGCTTCTGTTTAATAAACCATATTATAATTACATTATTATTGTTCAGTGTACTGTATATCTTAGATCCTCGTGTACTGTTTCTTTTTTTATACTTGATATTTTTGCTAATTTTGAGTCAAACTAGGGCCTTGAGTGCACAATTTTGTTCCACCTCCTGTACCACATGTGATGCGAATGACAATAAAGAACCTTGAACCTTGTTATGCAGCAGGTGATCTCTTGTTCATGTTATGATCAAATGAATCACTTTCTTATTAGCTCAGAGAAAAATATTCTTCTTCTCATCTAACGTCATAATGTCCAAGAAGGAGAAAAAAAAAGCATGACATATTGTTAACATGTGAAACGTTTTATCTCTGACTGACCTGAGCTTTGTGTCCCTTCCAACCTCCCTTCAGTCCATGGAAGACCTAGAAGACCAGAAGCGTAAGAAGAAGAAGGAGAAGATGACTCTGGGATCTTTATCCCGAGTGTTCACTCGAGGAAAGCAGCGCAAGTCTCTGGACCCCGGCTTGTTTGATGGTACAGCCACCCCTGATTATTACATAGAGGAGGATGCCGACTGGTGAAACTGTGTGCGTGCGTGTGTGCGTGCATGTGTGTTTTGTTGTATATCCACCTTACTTAAACGTGTGTAAGAAACCATTGTTTATAGAGAAGGTAGATTTTACTGAAAATAAAAGGACTGCTATCCCCATAAATGTACATTATGCCACTCATATACTGTATGTTTGTAAATTTTATATATATTTATAGTTGTACATGTATGCATATGTATATATGTTTACATGCATATAAATATATATGGGGTTATTAATATGTGTAGACATGTTTATGCTGTATTGTAAATGTCTTAATGTTTTATGTTTTTTTTATAACTAGAGACTTGAAGGACTGCTGTTCATATGTACATAGGATATATTGTGAAACTAGTGTTTAATTGTTAATGTTTTTATTTTTTTATTTTATTTTTTTGCTTTTTGCTACTTTAAAGTTACTTTGCAACACTTATCTTTAGCTTTTCTCCTATTATTGCCCTTTTCTTACAACTTACTAAAAAGAGTTGGGGAAAATTTTAGATTTTTGAGGGTCAAATTGTGTGAAAGTGCTTTTTAATCTGGTCAACAAAAAACTGAATGTTACAGGACTGTCATCTAACTCTTTAGCGAGTGTGCTGTGCATGCTGTGAGCAGCAGGGAGGGATTTGCATCGGGCGTCTGCATTTTATTTTGGAAATTGCTGTCTGACCAACAGGGGTTTTGGAGTCAGCCGTACAGAGAAAATCAAACTGAACTGACTTGAATACACAAACAGAGATATATCAAAAAATTATTATCGGTCGAAATGTACAAGTGCCAAAAAATTAACACAAAAAGCTTTTATTCATTCTGCTGGTCTAGTGTCTCTCATTTCCCTCTGATATCAAGTAATGTGTGCATTCAACACATGCATGATCCCTCCATGTTGCTTTGGTTAGACGTCCATTCATTTGTTATCAAACTCACAAAAGCCTCTTGCTCCTGTGTTGCCCCCCTCTCTGTTTGACAAAGCTATCTCTTGCATTATAAATGCATGCCCCCTCCTGTCCCTTTCTTCTTTTTTTATTCCTGTTTTTGTTTTGCTTTGTGCAAAATCCCTTCATTTCCTGCAAATGTGGCTCTAATAAATCTTATTGCTTTGTAATTTAGGAAATATTGCATACAAGATTAAATCTATTGAAGTATTTTATTTAAAAAAAAAGAAGAAGAAGAAAAAAAAAAGGAGATAAACCAAGAGGTAAAACTTCAGATATTTATCTGCTGCGGCCGTCGTAGCCAAATGATGAGGTTTCCGAGTGAATTATACCTGAAATGAAATCTTATTTTAAAAATAAAACTAGAAACTGAACACTGTGAGGCCCGTTTGTTTTTGTTCCATGAGTGCTCTTGTTCTTGTGTCCCAGTCTTAACGTTCCTCTCCCCGCTGCCATTTCTAATGGCAACTTTCTCTCCTACCAGTGAGTAACTCCTCATCTGTGATTACCAGCTGTCTGTTCCTGCACTCTGGGGATTATTCATATCAGTCATGTCCATTAATAATTATAATAATAATAAGTTTATTTTCCTGATCTTTGAAAACTCTTTGGAGCTACAGTTTGCATGCAGCATATTGTGTCCAGCATGTGGAGACGAATCAGGAAAAAAACTCCATCCTAGTTTTGTCGGTTCTGTAAGAAAGTGTCTTTTGAGACATGAGGTTTTATGAATAATCCCTGTGTCTTTAAAACATTATCCTAACAGCTGTAAGTCCTTTCATTATCATTAGATATTAATGTTTAACTGCTTTACTTAACAAGAGAAATGTGCTCTCATGATAGAAGCTAAAGGGACATAGTATCTGAATTAGATGCATCCTGCCACATCAATACACCTTGTTGAACTTTGGTACCCTGTTGTTTAGTTGTGGTGGATTAAACCAGGGGTTCTCAAACTTTTGGGGTTCAGGGACCCCTTACAGGGGAGAAAAGTTTCAGGGACCCTCTCATAACCCTCATGGTTATTAAATAAATTTCTTTAATTTGTCTCTTTATGCAATGGAAATATTTGTGTAACATAAATACTTAAGACCCGTTTTTTAATAGTGTTAATACAAATGTTATACTTTTAAACATGGGGTATTTTTCATTCAAAACACACTTAATTAACACATTTTTTAATTTCAACTTACAAAAATTAGTTTTGAGAAAATGAACAGTGGCAGCACGGTGGCGCAACTGGTAGAGCTGCTGCCTCTCAGTGAGCAGGTCCCCGGTTCAAACCCCGGTCCAGGGGCCTTTCTGGGTGGACTTTGCATGTTCTCTCCGTGCATGCGTGGGTTTTCTCCGGGTGCTCCGGTTTCCTCCCACAGACCAAAACACGCATGTTAGGCTGATTGGTAACTCTAAATTGTCCCTAGGTGTGAGAGAGAGAGTGAATGGTTGTTTGTCTCGTTTGTCTCTATGTGGCCCTGTGATGGACTTGCGACCCGTCCAGGGTGTACCCCGCCCCTCGCACAGTGATTGCTGGACATGGGCACCAACGACCCCATGACCCAAAATGGAATAAGCGGGTAAAGATAATGGATGGATGGATGGATGGATGGATGGATAATGAACATAAATGTATTGCCACTTAACATTAGTACAGAAAACTTTACATAAAACTGAACAGAATCATAACAGTAGTCACACCGAGTAACATGGCTTAATTTTAAACCGATCATTGCTGGAACACAAATAGTGGGGGAGCCAGCCAGAGGGCAGGGGTCTTGCCATCCTCCCCAGAAATTTTTGAATAAAGTAATAGTGATTTCTTGCCTTTTGGTGTATTTTAACGGGTTGTTAAACATCTACATGCTTGTAAAAAAAATTTATTTAATTTATTTATTTATTTATTTTTGCAGACCCCCAAGCACAGGCTCACAGACCCCGGAGGGTCCGGGGACCCCAGTTTGAGAATTACTGGATTAAACACACTGAAAAACATTTCAAGTGACACATTGGGGCACCCTCTGGTGGCTGTAGGGAGTAATGCAAAATGTTAAATTTTGCTGCACATAGAAAAAAAAGTACAAAATCATTGTTGTGCATTGTGTCACACTGAGGAAAATAATGATCTTTTCTCAACTTTGGCCTCTGACCTGCCCTTGGATTGCCTCCAGATGAGTCACTCTTTTTGATGTCATATCCTTCTGACCTTGAACCTCTCTCGTATGCCACACCGTAACTTGTCCTGACCAATCCAGACTCTGACAGCCTCATACAGCACAGCATGTCTGATGGAGAGGAGCAGCTGGACCGCCTCCAGCAGGCCGAGCTCACCCGAAACACTTGCATGTCTCTGTGGAGGGCGGGGGCCGTCCGGGCCTGGATGGAGGTCGTCATGGGAATGCCCATGTACATCCAAGCCTGCTCGGAAAATGTCAAAAGTGGCAAGGTATGATTTTTAAAGCAGATCACTAGCTTTGTGAAAGAGGGCGATGAGCCGTCTTAGCGAATAAGGTGATTTGGGTGTTATGGGTTGGAAAAAAACTGAATCTGCTCTTTAGGTGCTGCTGGGTCTGACAGATGAAGATTTAGAGGTGGAGTTGGGCATCAGTAATCCAGTTCACCGCAGAAAAATAAGACTGGCCATCGAGGATTACAGGAGAGCTGAAGGGGAGCAGGGGTGAGTAAACTAAACTGAGCTTCTGCAATAATCTCAAAGGAAATATTGCACTTTTTTAGCTTAATGTCATTGGAAAGACTTTTAAATCTAAGTAGAAAACACATAATCATGTTATTAAATATAACGCAAACAAAACAACCCATAGTTTCCCCATTTGACATTAAACATTTGGTTTTATATTTCTCTGCATCAGTTTGGTCAGTATTAAGTTATGTTGAACGCTGGACTTTTTACATGTACAGGTTTCACTTTTATTCTCACCAAGCTGCGCTTATCTTCCAGACTGTCAAAAGCCTCTGAGATGGACCATCACTGGGTCGCGACTTCGTGGCTGAGTGACGTCGGGCTGCCTCAGTACTGCCAAACCTTCCAGACTCACTTAGTGGACGGGCGAGTGTTGAACTCTCTCAGCCGCAGGGACTTGGAGAAATTCCTCAACATCAGCGACCACTTCCACCAGACCAGCCTTCTTCTGGCAATCCAGCTGCTGCAGATGCTCAGCTTTGACAAAGAGGTCCAAACATTCATCGATTCGAACAATAACTTTTCATTATAATTGGCTGCCTTACTATATGTCCACAAAGTCACTTGTAAACAACGATGCACGTCTCTCACAGTTTCTAAAGTTAATGCAGCTGAATCCACTACAGCCTCGTTTATGTTCTAACACCCTAAAGCAATAAGTGAAAATTCGCAAAGTAGCGACGTTATATTTATTTTTGTATATATTTCAAGGCTTTAGAAACCCTTCCCACACTGTTGCAATGTTCTAAACTCTTAAACCTATGTCATTTTAACAACATACAGTGCTCTAAATGTAGCTACTAAATTTTACTTACCAGGCTCTGCAGAACAGGAGCGACTCTCGTTCCAGTCCGACTCTGTTCTGGTCCGACTCGGTTCCGTTTCTGCAGACCTACCTTTCAGCAACGAAGCCCACAATCAATTTTCTAAACTCTTAAACCTACTCATTTGAACAAAATACTTATATATATATATATATATATACAGTAGCTTCTAAATTTTACTAACCAGCACATCCCTGCTCGGAGGTCCCCGTCAGCAAAGAGATGAAAAATGTGCTGGTGGGATCTGGATGCACCGCTGGACCTTCGGCGCACGTTCCCGCTTGGAAGTCCATGAGGGCAGGCTACCAGCTCTCAAGATTCACCGATAGGTCTAGAGGTCTGGTTCTACTCCGGTTCTGCTCCAGTTCTGCTCCGGTTCGGTGGGTTCCGTACAGCATCTCTGTATCTGCTGGTCACAATAATAAGCGCCAAACTTTTTCCGATCAGATCAAAACTTTCCTTCTAGTTTTTCAGCATAAGGAAATGGCGCTTCTGGGCGGGGCCCTGTTGGCTTCTGGGAAATGTGGTCATTGTGAGCAGGAACACAGTGGAGTCTTACTGGGAAAAATCTACAATTTGGCGGCAGCCGTACATCCGCAAACTGCGACAGAGCGAGTCTGCGAAAGTCAAATTGCGAAGTAGCGAGCGACTGCTGTACAGTATAAGAAGAAGACTGAACAACAAAAGTTTG